AATAAAAACAACATCAAATACTAACTAAAAAAATCTCAGATCTATTGTAGCTCGAAGATTGTCTTCGTATGTGCTGTGTTCACTTAATTAAAATATTTTGGGAACAGAATAAAAGGAGAAAGTAGTGCAGATCTCTTTTTTGTTTAAAGGCGTTAAAAAAATTGATATGCACTATTATTAAAATGCTGTCAGCTTATGTGCAAATATGCAAATAAGTAAGTAATATTTCATATTTGCATTAAAAAAGAAAGAGCATTATTATAGCATATTATTAAATCAATAAATGTAAACACAGAGACTGCCTAACTTAAGTAAGATACAATGTTGTAATTTGAGGTGAAAACTATAACAACGAGATACTTAAACTTATCCAAGCAATTAAACTGCAACTCCACCGTTTAAATATTGATTGTCCAATGATTGTGACAATAAAATATTTAAGTGTTTATACACATATTAAGTTTCCTCATCAACTTTTGTGTGTATGTCCTAAAAGTTTTCAAATGTTGTTGATAATTTTCTGTTTGTTTATATTCCTCAACTAGAAGGAGCATATAATTGAGCTTTTTAAAAAATGTACGAGAAACTCATCAATCCTTCATACAAGCATATACGAATACAGGGAATGCTGGTACATACATCAACCTAAATTAATATTTGCCTTTGCTTCAATGTGCAATAAAGAGTAAAGGCATAGACGGCCAAGGAAGCCGTTAGTTTTGGACCAACGCTTTTTTGATTTTCACTCCAGCATTTGCGTTATTCTGCAGACCCATTTGTTTGGATGGTAACGGGCCAAGGGGTTGGTGGGGCAGAGTAGTGGCGCCACACTGTAACCGAGCCGTAACACCAGGGTTTGCGACTCACTGATGCAACAATATTTCTGACACGTCCAAAAGCAATTAAGTTTGTCCATAAAAGTGTCACACAGAGTCAACGCAATGCAGCGTCGAAAGAGTGTGACAACAAACCGAGCGTACAGCACACGTAAGCTTCGCCGTCCCCCCACCCTCCTGCCCCACCGTCCCCACTACTCCTGTTCCTGCTGCTGCCTCTACGATACACCACTGGCCACACAAAGAACTTATAGATACAATAACGTCGCAGCAGCATCAGCATCAGCGGCAAAGGCCGAACGATGCAACGAGGCACATTTAAACCATTTGACACTAGGCGGCGTAGAGGAAAAAACAACAGCAGCAACTGAAAAGCATTTAAGCCAAGCCGCGAATGAATTTTTCGCATTCACACGGACCGCCGAAAAAATCACTAAAAAAGTTTGCCTCCACGCAGAAACAACGAATCTTAAATACACTCTAACCTACCTACTGACATACAGTTTATTTGCCATTTATGCTAAGGAAATTCAAGACAATAATAAAGTAATATGTAGCTAGGGAAGTTATCTCTCTCCATGAATCAGAGCCAAGTTATGGCGACTTAACAAATTTGAACATCCGAGACAGTTCGTCGAAGACGATAACGAAAGAAAATTTAATAAGAAAACAACTATTAATAATATTGGAAAATTATATGATTCTACTAAACACTACATATTTGAATGATATTGCCATTTTTAATTGTTAATATCTGAACCATAAACAACAGCCATGAATGAAATTGTCTGCGTCTACAAGTAAGATGACTCTAAATTAGAAATTAGTTTTTGCAACCTAATAATATTTCCAACACACAAATAACAAACATGCATACAACATAAAACAAAGAAACGATAAACGTATTTAAGAATCTTTGTTTAGTATTGACATCATACTTGAAAGCTCCAAAACTACTTATTTAAAACTAATAGTTCACCTAAACAGTAAATATATAAAATCATAATAAAGAAATTGAATCGCAGTCGATTTCTTCTAGAACTTAATGGCAATAAAACAAATAAATCAAAAATGATATATAGATGTAGACCTACTGATGATGCTGTAGAAAAAATTGATGTATTTAATATAATTAAATAAACACTCTCCCTGAAGAAAACAGTGGAAACATTTTAGGAGAGAAGACGTTAATGACAAATTAATTTCAAATATTCTTCAATAGCTTCAAAAACTCGCTAGACATCAACATTTTAAAATACATTTTAAGCAATATATGTTTGTTTTAAATAGATTTCAATATCAGCTCGAAATGTTAAAGCTGCAGTGAAATGAAAACGCAAAAATAGCAGAGAGAATAATAGTAGTAAACAATTTTCGACCACATTTAACTGCCAAATTAAAAATAAGCATTTCCTTGGATAAACCTTTTTCAGAAATATTTTAAGCATTTACATGGCTTCTGAGTGCTCTTTATTTTTACAAGTATGAACAAGTTAAAGGCAACTAAAGTAAAGAACAAAATGTGAACAAGCCATGACAAAAACTAAAGCTGGCGCATCTTCAATATCGAACTGGCGAATACCAATACCAATACCAATATCGTTGCCAATACCGATGCCAATGCAAGATGACAGGTCGTTGGGGCAACTACAGCTGGCCATTAAAAACATTTTGCGCGCATCAACGCGCGACAAACTCCAGTAATTGTTGTTGTTGTTGCTGCTGTTGTTCTTGTTGTATTTTTTAGCATTTGCAACTTTTTCGAGGCCAATAACTCTGTTGATGACCATGGCCGATGCAGACAGGCTGGCCCAGCTGGTTGCGCGTTGATGTGTGACTGCAACAACAGCAACAGTAACTGCAACATAAAGCAACAACAGCAACAACAACAACAACAATACCAATGCCAACAACAACAACTACAACAATAGCAAAATGTATGAGTATTCAACCGACTACAGTCGACGCGTTCGCTGGTGATGCCACGGCAACAATTTTTACTAGTTTATGGTCACGTTTTTGATGCTGCAAATTTTTGCCATAAGCCCCGCCAAAAACCCCAACTGAAGACCCCAACCCACCCCATTCCAGTACAACAACAAGAAGGCCATGAAACGGGCAGCAGTTTATGCGTTGACCCATCAGTCGATCTCTGTGCTGGGCACCCGTCGAGGCGCCAAAAACTTTACCAATATTTGTCGGTATATTGCTGTGCACGTCTCTTCTCCGCTTATTGGCTGCGGCGACTGTCAGTGTTTCGGACAGAGTTCAAACATTATGAAATTCAATTGGATTAGTGTTGAATAACGAACACAGACTAATGGTCGATGAACGGGGGGAAGGGTATGCGCGCTAATTGGTTTGCTAAATGCTTACGCATTTCATACCCGATGAGCATTTCATTTGATTTTATGGCTATGCAGTAGAAGAGAATAGTATTTTCTGAATTGTACATAAATCATTCTTCGTGTTTAACATTCTAACTAAACAACTGAAACAATGCAAGTGACGAATTGAGAAAATCATTATACAGATATCTTTCAAGCAGTGAAAAAATAAGTTTGACGAAATTAACTCGTTTGCTCCTGAAAATTAGATAAATCAAAGTTCAATGACTTTTCTATCACAGACTAAGAAATATAAAAATTAATGAACATGAAAACTAACTTTTTTTTCAAACGAAAAATTATAAATTAAGAATCGGGCTTTAAAACCAGTTTGCAGAACAGTTCGTGACACTTTAAATCCTTCATTTAATCGCAGTTTTTTAATTTAGAGAGAGGTTAAAGCTCAAATATATAAACGAAATTATGAAATTCTCTTTCTTGTTGCAAACGTCCTAAAATTTTTTAGGTTTTATTTATTTTATACTGTAGCGATGCTTTTTCATTTAAATGTTTTTATGAATTCTTTCATAATTATTTAATAATTTATAAAAATACAAAAACTCAATTAAGTAACAAACCCAATAAAAAAATGTTCCTTCGCTTCTGTCTACTGTGCTGCATACAAGATTTATATCCTTGAATCAAAACCCTTTAAAATATTGGAATATGCTTAGATTTCATTGCTTTCTTTGGATCTCTTAAGTAATTTTTAAAAATGTACGAGCTTGTTATACTCTGTACATGAAATGTACAAGAGTATATTAGGTTTGCGGGAGCTGAAAAATGTAACAGGCAGAAGGAGGCGTGGCAGACCCCACAAAGTATATATATTCTTGATCAGCATGACGAGACGAGTCGATCTAGCCCTGTCTGTCTGTCTGTCCGTCTGTCCGTCTGTCCGTCTGTCCGTCCGTATGAACACCTGGATCTCAGAGACTATAAGAGATAGAGACACCAAATTTTGCACGAAGATGCGTTATGTGTGTATTCTATACGAGTTTGTTTTATTTTTTTGATTTTCCCCCCCACTTCCCCCCTATGGGGGTTTTCCCGATTTTCCATTCGTATAATCGCCTATATCTCGGAGACTATAAGACCTAGGAACACCAAATTTTAGTCCCAGATGCCTTATGTGAATACGCAGAAAATGTATATTTTGGAATTCCCCTCCCTCCCCCCTCTACCCCGCAAATCGTAACTCCCGTAATTCTTGGAATTTCGAACTAAAATTTTGGAAATACCCCCAGTTAGTTATTATGTGTCCGTATGCCAAATTTCATTATGATAGACCGATTTAACAAGAAGTTATAGCCATAAATATATTTGCTGATGCAGCGCTGCTGCAGCGCTGCTCAAGCGCTGCCCGCGGCTGTTGTTGATGTTGCTGTTTGGTTGACTGCGAAAATGCTTACACAGACACGAATTGATGCGCATAGGCATACATACACTCACACAGACGCAATTGCTATGTAAATGTGCAATTATACACCCTTTACGTGAGTTCGAATACCGAGAGAGGTAAAATCGATCAAATTTTTTTTTTTATTTTCTTAATTTTTTTTATTTTCTATAATTATTGTAAACATATGTACAGAGTATTTCAAAGTCGGGACACCCGACTTTAGCTTTTTTACTTGTTAGTTTTTATTTATGTGCATATATTTATTTAATTTGCAATGCCTACGTAAGTTGTCACATTCATGGCCAATATTATTAGACGCGCTCGGGTAGCGTTCGACTCAGAAATACAAAAACCACCTTAGTCGGATTTAAAATGTCGAGGTTATTGTTCCTGTTACTGATCTCTTCTCTAGTAAGTGCATACACAGAATTTGCTCAAATATTTAGTTGAAATTTGCATCATAAATATTTGGAAATTTTTTGGAACAGCTCTTCCAGTTTTTGAAGGGAGCGGATGACTTATCTTCAGATGAAAACTCTTCTAAGGAGGAAGGCAAATATTTAGAAAGGAGAACTGGCTTATATGCGGATGACGAAAGGGTATTAAGTGAAGTATGTGGAAAAGGAAGATCAGTTGTGCAGCGGGAACGAACTGATATTTTAGATTCCGATGTTTGTGCTGCTATCCTTCAGAAGATGAAAAAACTCATCTTAAATATAAATTTAAAAAAAGACATCGTTTTGAAATGTATTTTGGAAAACCGTACTCGGCTCTCTGCTGAAATTAGACGCAGATCATTCATCATATGTCCAATACTGAACCTTTTAGGTATTCATGCTGAAATATCACTTGGAATTGGAGGTAAACCCCGAAAGGATAAGGATAAAAAGCCACCGACTAAGCCGGTCAACGAGGCACGCGAGACTATCAAACTAACCATTTCTCTTATATTATGGGCAGTGAAAATTAGGAAGGCTTACTATTGTGGACAAGAGATTCGGAACGAAATAACGACTTTAAAGAAACTGCTTGATAAATTCCAGAAATTGGATTGTATGTGTTGAACAGCTTTTTTTTAAATAACTTTAACTAATATTTTTTTTATATATATTGAAAATAAACAAAAAATTTAGCAAAACCAATTTATTTTACAAAAAATAGTCCTGAATAGGCTGAACTGGCCTTTAGGACAACCTTTTTGATTAACTTCAATGTCTACATAATGCCTTCCTTTATCACTGTCATTTTTTCGAAAAGGTTCAAGTCGCACGGAGCCAAATCAGGCGAAATTTGGGAGTGCTTAAGGATTAAAATGCAATATATATATAAAAAAAAAAACATATCAGTCACATGTGCCAACCAATGAGTCATATTTTTGGTTATCAGTCAACTTGATCACTTTTTTCAGTAGCCCTTAATTATCTTTCTATTAATTCCTTTCCATTTCCACTAATGGAGATTTTGGCAGATTTTTTTAAAAAATTCTTGCTTAGTTTCATTCGAATTACGGATTTTGGTTGGCATTTATAATTACACTCAAGGCCATTTACAAACCGCGTGCACCACTCATAAACTCCTTCACGAGATAAAGGTAAAGGAAGTACCTTGTCACAAAAAGAAAGCACCACCAGAAAAGTCCTATTCCTGTTTTCTTTCAAATACACATAAAAGCTTGATAAATATCGATTATATTAATGAAAGAATCAATCAAAGAATGAAGCCAAAATCTTTCGAAACTAGGTGTGTGGAACCGCTGGACTATTAATAATATTTTAGTTATTTAAGGCATTATATGATGATCAGAAAAAGGTCTACTGGACTTGCCATTCTAGCATACCTGTTCTACTTTCTGAAAAACTTTACTTACAACGCAATTGACTACTGCATTCTGGCCATGTCTAATCACAAAACGGAACCAAGTTGTTATTGTTGTAAGAGGTACTATATATGTATAAGAATTGTCATATCTTATTGGGTGTTTATGATATTAAGAAAACGGTATATTATTTATCTGAATGAGCTGTTCAAATATAAAAAAACAGTTGTAAAAATGTAAATTATGAAAGACTTCTATTTTACTTTCCCAAAAACTTTTGTTTTTTAACATTGTTTTTTCGGATATATCTTTATAATACATATTAGACATGCTTGCTTCATTCAAATAACTGTCTAAAGCATAGAGTTCTGAACTTATTCCAGTTCTTGTAGAAAATAGGTCTACTTGGAAAATTCGCTAAGGCATCAAAATTGATTGCGAATAAATGTGTCACTGGAATGGAAATCCTTATCAAAATCTTTCTGAGTTCATTTTACTGTAAATTACTCCCTAAAGTTGCACAGGTATTTTTTCTCCTTCCCCCACCGATTTCCACATACGTATAATGCACTTGAAATTAAGTGTCTGGCAGCATATAAAAGCAACTCATATGCCACAATGCCTAACTTGGCCCATTCACCAGTTGGCCATGCAAATGAAGTGCTCCATTGTGGGTCGAAAAGAGCGCCGACAGCCACAGCCACAGCCACAGCACGCGCACCTTTGCCTGAATGGGAGCAAAAGTTTCCGATTTCTATTGTTGATGCAAAATACTCACATTTTCCAATTTGGCAACTGTCTCGTACATGGTCATGTTATTGACTTTGCCGTATTGTACAATAAAATCAATATCATCTGCCACACTTGTGGCGCCGGACTCGGACGACGACTGCTGTGCGGCTGGCGCCGCTGACGTTGCAAGTTCGCTGTTCATGTTTGGGTTTGGGTTGCCAGCTGCTGCAGCGGCAGCCAACTCATCGCCCGTTATCGCGTCAGCTGGCGTGCCGCTGCTGTTATTGTTGTTGTCGCCCACATCGGGCGGCGTCCAGGCGAGACTGATGCTTGTTTGGCCAACCATTGTGGTGTGCACATCTTCAGGTGGGCCGGGTATGTTCTGTGTGCCTAGAAAGGTAGCGAAGTGGAAGCCATATATAGAAAACTTTGCTTTATAATGCAAGTTTAATTGGCCAATATTGGTTTTGTCTGCCAAGCCACAGCATTGACCGAATAATTAAGCGCACAATCGCGTGCAACAGTGCGTATACGAAACGAGCACAGACACATAATTAAACAAACCAAATTAGCTCCACACACACACACACACACACACGAGACTGTCCACTTGATACACTGATTTAGGGTGACCATAACTACTTACCTTCCTCAAAGCACTGCAGGATATTGCCCGCGTATGACAAACAATCGGGCGCATTTCCTGCTGATGTGGCAGCCGATGTCGATATGCCTGCGCCCGCTCCTGCCGATGACGTAGCCGTTGACCCCGCTGGCGATTTAGTTGTCAGTGTTGGCGGCATGACGCCACGGCAGAGCGGCATGCAGGCATTGATAACGCCCCGTCGACTGCAGCAGGGTGTATGATCGCGTCCACCGGCGGCGCAACGCGCCAAAATGGCTGCAAGAGGCAAAGGTATAGAGTGAGCGAGATGGAGAAGGAATGTAGTTAATAAAGCTGTGTACTATATGTCGGATTATTTGGTTCAATGAACTGCTAATACTTGTAAACAAAAATTGAATATTCTCTTTTCAATTATTGATTGTTACTATCTAGAAGTTGTTTGTGTAAAAGCTGCCCTTTTTTTCGAACCTGTCTTGGTCCAATATTTATTCACAAAATTAATACACAATTACTAATCATTAGCCCTTCTCTAACTGAAAGTATTCTTCTGACTGTCATTTATTCAATAGCTTTGTCCAAACCTTTATTAGAAACGTTTTCCATAAAATTAAATTTTATATTCTTCAAATAAAAGGAACTATCATAAAACTGAAACTTTTGAATTTCGATAATCAAGCTGTTAGTTATTATAGTTACCATCTTAGAGGCTTTAATTAATGGTTGTACCGGAAACAAATAAAAAGTGGAATTTACGCAAAAACAAAAAAGTGGCATTCTTCTTTTTATCGCTTTATATAATCCTTATTTTATATTCAAATCGGGGTGTGTTACTTTCTCCCTAATTTTATTCAAAGGTTCGATTGTTAACGAGACCATTTTTATTTGAATTTCGGAAAATATTTTTTGTGCTGCTTAAATATATTTCTTAACCTAATTTATTGAATGGTGTAAGGCATGTGATTAAATTTGGCCCTGAATATTCTATTTATTTTGGCAAAGCTCTGTGTCGGGGTAGCCGCAGAACAACATATTTTGAAACCAGTATGCTACTGCACAACTCCAGTTAGTTCTGGGCTATTTGCATATGTCGGTATCTGTGTCAGTTACGGCTCATTGGCATCATCAGCATCAGCGTCATCATGATGGCTAACCGCTTGCTGTTGATTGCTCGGATTTTTGGCCATGGCTTATGTCTCATGGCTGATGGCTGATGGCTGATGGCAAGCAAATGTTATGCCTCAATTTGTGCCATGAAGTCATCAATTTTATGTTTGAATAACTTGATTATCAGCGGTCCGCGATGAGCCCGGCCAACGTAACTCGATTGCCACTCGAGTTGCTGCTCCTGTTTCTAATATGACAGTTTTTGCTGTTGGATGCAGGACACAGCAATGACTCGACATGCTACGCCAATTTACAGGAAATTAACACAGATTTGTTATCAGTGACAAAGTGCTGAATAATGTCAAGGATTTTGCACAAGTCATCCTGTAATAGATTAGACATGTACACGAGTTCATTACAATCGCACCATTTATGTAAACCAATCCAGGATGACTTGCATCATTATTGATGAACGAGTATATACCTACATTTGTACACTTTCACTGTCAACAGAATGTAAATATTTACGAATTCTTGTGCGTGAAATTTCCATTTTTATAGTAGTTTTGAAATGATAAGCATCAATCACGGCACCACTTAAAACTTTCAAGTAAATAAAGAAAAATGCAAGCTAATGGCATAACAAGCTTCAAATCCACTTACGATTCAAAACATTTTTTTAAAGCAACAATTAATTGTAATTAATGTTTGCATTTGTATACATTTTCATATCTATTTATATAGATGTAAATACATCGAATATGATTCCCATTGAAACGACTGTTATACTGTTGAGACGAAATTGCTGAAAACAAAATCTAAACAATTTGGAGCCATTTTTTCTAATCCAAAAGTAAATATGTAATACATTACTTTTATTATTTACTTTTGGGTAACTATTAAATTGAAATAAAATAATAAATTATATAGAAAACTTTTAAGAATTGATAGGATTATATTTTTGTTAATTAAAAAAAAAAACACTTATTCCTAAAAATTTAACAAAAAGACAACTTTGAAATAACTCAGTTAGGTATCGAATTCATTTGTGGGTTTTCCATGGAAAATGAACATTATTTGAATTCATATTAGACTTTTCTCAGTGTGGAAATAGACCCAAGAGAATGTAAAAGTGCTGAAACGGCTTTTGTTTTACTTCGGCTCTATTATCTCCGAGTATTTTACATAATAGGCAGAGTGTGGAAATAATTAAAATCTATTCGTAAAGGTTTTATTTTTTATTGTATTTGCATTTCAAGCATTGGACACGCCTTACTAATGCTTTGCTTTCGAACTTCGAGTAAAATGTCTTAGTCGTATAGCTATTCGTGCTTTAAAATGTTGATGGCATTTATTTTTCTTTTGACGTGTACTGGGGTGAGTCCGAAGCCTGGAGACTGATTTTTTTATCATTTTATTTATTTACTGAAAATATAGTTAGCCATGGGTAAAAAAAACATGGAGGATGGCAATATGTTTGCGGAAATAAGAGCACCTGCAAATATAACTCCTAAGAATCCTTCAAAAAGTTTTGCAACTGCAGAGGAGCAGATCGAATTAAAGGAGACGTGTGGACGGAGATCAATAAGACAATACTACAAAAAAATAGCGAAGTTCTTTCCTAATACAACTGCTACTAAAAACCCTCTCCCTATAAAAATATCAGTGAAAACAACAAGAATACCTATAAAAGGTAAACAGATTTCATCTATAGTAGTTCAAATGTGTGATCGCACAGTAAGAACACTCATTGAAAACATTTCTAGAATAAATAATAAAAAGGAAGTGGTTGCACAGTGCATTGAAATGTACCCCGAAAAAAACCTACAGCTAATATTGGGCACAGGACTACATTTTGGCTATGGATTTGGCTCCAAACCGAGAACAATTGTTCTCCCAATGAAGGAACTTCCGAAGAGTGTATTTCTTACAGTTCAAACAGCAATTGCACTTCGATTTTGGCATGAAAGAATAACTGAAAGTGCCAGGTGTGGGAAAGAAATAAAAATAGAAGTTGAGAACATAGAGGAGAAAATTGATAATTTTAAAGTACTAGGATGCGTATGTAAAGTTTAATAAAGAACCTTATTCAATGTATTGAAAACATTTCAGTTATGCATGTTACAAATAAACGATGGTTATTTCAAAATACTATTTCCTTCAGAATAGTTGTAGTTGTGCGCTGTCCAGACTAAGTATGACCGTAATGCTTATTTGATTTTGCATTTTCAGCATTCGACACGGTTTGAGTAACACTTTGGCTTAGATTCAAATTACAAAGGAATGTTCAGTGACATAAATGTTTTGAAATGTTGAGGTTATTTGTATTGCAGTTGCTTTCTGCTGTGGTAAGCTTCTCTGAACATATACAAATCGAAAAGTATATTCCACAAATCACAAAATAGCTGGCCGGCTCTGTGAGCAAGATAGAGCCTCGAGCTTCTGTAAAAAGTAACTTGCCATGGGAGGAGTATCTTGTGACTACAGAAGAACAAATAGAGCTTAAAGAGACGTGTGGCAGAAAGGCAATGGCGGACTATTGTCTAAAAATAACGAACGCGTCGAATGCTGGCCATTGTACCAAAAAGCCAAGAACAGATCCTGCAACGAAATTCAAAACGGCAGCTCAAACTTCAAGGAAATGGGAGGAAATGTGTGCGACCGTAGTAACAAGCATGAGAGACAGTCTTACTGCAATCGATAAGAATAAACAAAATATAACCAAGTGCATAGAAAAATTCCCCACAACAGGCCTGGGAAAGAGTCTGGGTATAGACTTTCAATTTGGTTTTGGCTCCGTACATAGATCGATTGCCATTCCAGTTAAAGAACTTCTCACTAGCGTTTTCCTCACAATTCAAACTACAGTGGGAGTGAAGTTTTGGGGCGAGAAAGTAGTTGAAAATCTCAATTGTGGTAAAGAAATAAAAGATGATATTGCAAAATTAAATGAACTTATTGATAATTTTAAGATTTTAATTTGTTACTGTAAGCCATAAGCATGTTTGTAAATAAAGGCCATTAATGTCAGCAATTTTTTTTTTGCTTAGGATAAGTCGTATATTTAAATGAATTTTCTTGTTTGCAATGAAGCTGAATTCCGCCTTTTGACAAGCGTTAGAAGACTAGTTATAACACAGTTTTATCAAAAGGTCCTAAATTTTTTGTTTGTTTAGGATATATTCGTCTATGTTAATGAATTTTCTTGAATGAATTTTTCGCCTTTTGATAAGCGTTAGAAGACTAGTTGTAAGGCAGTTTTATCAAAATGTCCTAAACTTTCCACAGCGCATTTTCTTGTTTCCAATTGAATTGTGGCTGCAACTGTTGGGTAGCAAAATAAACAATCAATTAGTTGCTGAAAGGCTCTGAACTCGTAAAAAGTTGAACCAGCCAACCGCTCATCATCACATTTCCACCTCATTGAGCAAAAAGGCAGAGCCTGACTGCATGTTATTTTCAGGATTGCTAAGTATATACAACTCATTAGCTAAAAATCGATTTGCATAAGTAGAAATATTCATTACTGGCGCACAAATGCCCACCACATGCCCAATACGATCCGATCCGATCCAAACCAGACTCAGACTCAGACGCAGGCAGGCGCCTACGAAGCGGCCGCATTGGCAGAAACCCACTTAATATTCCAAAATTATTGCAGCAGCGTGAAACGTCGAGGCAAAAGCAAAACAAAATACAAAATGAGCTCATTAAATTAACAAAAATCCAACTAGGAGCTGGGACTGGACACTATGCGTCGGCCAATGGTGGACCGACAACAATAGGCAGACCATGCGCTCGAACTGACACTAATTAGTGTTTTTGCGGCGCTTGAATGGATACGGTGGAGTGGGGTTGGGCGCTGACTGGTGGAAGGGGGATGCTCTACTCACGCATTTGTGCACGGCATGCCGGTCCGAGACGCTCGATGTCCGACAGGCGTATATTGTAGGAGCAGAGGGGCGCACATTGGGGCAGGAGTCCAGATGCCTGGCAACACGTTGTCATGTTGTATTTGGCCGTCGTGTCTTTGGCCGGCTCTGCGGGCTGGGTGCGTGTAATCAGACGTGGCGAAGGCTCGCTCTTGCCGTAGGCATTAATTGAGACCACATAGAACTCGTAGTAGACATCCGGCTCGAGGCCCTCGAGTATGAGTGGCGGCAGGCGCTGTAAAGTTAATGAATTAGCCAAACAAGTAACGTGATGGGCAGGACGTTGCAGGACACCACAACAGAGCCACATGCTGTGACACAAACCTTCTGCACAGTCAGATAGTCATCACCAACGCCGAGACGTCGAAACTTGACATGATATGTGCTGACTGTATCGGCCAGACGCTTCGGCTTATTCCAATCTAAAATTACAAAATTATCCGTTTTGGCCACCGTCCGCAACTTCGAAGGCGGATCGGCCAGCACCCCATAGCCCTGGAACAAGCAGCTGCTATACTCAGACATGAAACGCAGGCATCTGCAACAGAGAATGGGGAGTTCAGAAATTAATTAGTGAGTTTATTAGCCATTTTAACGATTTACAACACAATGTAACAAATGAAGGCAATTTAGCCAAAGGATAATTGATTTGAACATAAAATTTGCCATCCTCAAAGGTTGTCCACGATTAACAACAGATCTTAGTTAGAGAACTTTAAATGTCTTTTTTTTTGGAGCTTAAGTGCTCTTCTGATTTTATGCTGAAGAATATATACAAGTATTGTCTGTTTCGAAATCTAAAAAGATTTACTTTAATTTGCCATTTATTCGCTGATACTAAATAATGTTTTCTTTTTCAGGGCATGCATTAATCTTTGGCTCGTAATATCCTTTAATTTAAAGAGAGGTGAGCTATTAAGTTAAGTTCGTTAGTATTCTTCTGATTTGACGATTACTATAAAATAAATCAAGATTTTATTCATCATTATGTATTGGTTATTTGATTCGGTATGTAAAAAAACAATGTGCTTGAATTTCCAATTTCACCGCTGATACTAAATATTGTTTTTTTCCGGGCTTGTATTAATCTTTAATTATATTCTCAAGTTCTTAAGTCCTCTTCTGACCATTACTATAAAATATATCAAGATTTTACATAGTATGTATTTCGTTTGATTTGGAATCTAATCTAAACAATGTTTTTTTTCCGGGCTTGTATTAATCTTTAATCCATCCTTAAGTTCTTAAGTCCTCTTTTGATTTGAGCATTACTATAAAATACATCAAGATTTTATACATCGTTCGTACGTTTCGTTCGTTAGATCCGGAATCGAATCTAAATAATGTGTTTTATTCAGGGCTTGTATTAATCTTTAATTATATTCTTTAATTAAAAAACAAGTGAGTTATTAAGATAAATTAAAATATCAATTATGTATAGATAGAGCTGCAAAAAGTGAATTGGCAACACTCACTTGAATAGACTGAAGTCCAGGGTGGTTAGCTTGCCGGCGCACAGGGGAAAGCAGGCAGCGGGAATGCCGCGTGCGCGACAACAGGGCGTATGATCGATCTCGTTGGCTAGGCAAGTGAACGTAATGTTGGACCAGGGCGCGCAGACCATAAAGTCGGGCAGTGTGGCCAGATCGGTCTTCTGCGGATCGCACATTTTGTCCAGGCACATGCGATGCGTCATGCCGTTCGCCTCGCAGCAGCTGCGTATATCGGGCAGACTGGGCATCTGCTGTTTGTCGGTATTGCCCGCCTCGGCCTCGGCGGCCGAAGCGCTGATGTGGGTGAAGAAGCGTAGGCGCTCGCTGGGCAAGCTCGAGCCGTATTCATTAACTGCGGTCACTACAACAGCATACATGGTCAACGGACTCAGTCCGTCGAGCGGCAAATAAGTTTGGTTCGCCTGCACATTGTGGAGTGTGACTTGTTCTGCCGGGTCAGTGGCCTTGTGGACCACCTCGCCGGTAACCTCATCCTCATCGAACTTGTGCAGCATGGTCAGATTGACGGTGTAGTGCATGAGGCGATCGGCTAGCTTCTCTGGCGGTGCCCAGCTGATGCGTGCACTCGTCTCGCTCACGCCATCGGCACTCACGGCTGTGGGAGTGCTCGGTATTAATTGAACGCCCTTCAATATGCACTGTAGGCCGCTCAGTGTGTGCTGCACGCAAGAGACGCGTGTCTTCAGCTTGTCCGTGAACGGTGTGTACTCGCCGCGACACATGTCCTGACACAAATCGGGAATCTGCTTCTCCACACAGCACGGCACATGATTTCGGCCGTCGGCCATACAGCGCACAATGCTGGGAAAGTCCCGCTCACAGGCCTCCGGGTCTATGCCCGTCGTGCCGTCGAGTATGTTGTGCACATTGCAGAAGCCCATGCACTGGGCGGAAACATTCGCCCGCTCACAGCACTCGGTGAAGTCGTGCGTCAATTGTGGCAATACCTGGCTGGGACGCCAGAAACTACGATTATCCTGAGCATCGAGCGGAGGTGGTATGAGGAACACATCGCTCGATTCGGAGGCCACAGCGTCTGTATTGTTGGTTGGCGCACCAGATGCCGGCTGCAGTTCCTTCACTATACAACGAGAGAACAATAACATTAAACTAAACTCAAGAAAATCGACATTTAAGCTCGATTTCAATTACGAAATTATCTTGTGCAATAAATAATAATAAAATAGTAATATTAATAACAATCAGCCGATTGTTGACAAAATTGATTAAAGTCAATGATAGTAGATATTTATTTTATGATCAAAAGTAAAAAGAATTAAATCCAATTTCATTTAATTTAAATATTTCCTTGCATTTAATAGATTTTCAGAAAAGAAACTGTGTATACAAATAAAATATAAAATAAAATAAAATATCACCATTATGTTCAGAAAATTGATTAAAATCAATGATAATAGATAGTTATTTTATGATCAAAAGTTAAAAGAAGTAAATCTGCTCAATATAATTCAAATAATAATTAAAATTAAATTCTTTGCATTTAATAAATTTTCAGAAAAGAAACAGTGTATAAAAATAATCGAGAAATGTACCTGTCAGTATATGTATGCTTCGCAGTACTGGTTCAGAGTTCAGTTCGCATATATAGGCACCCGAATCACTTGTCTTTAGCGTCTTTATTAAAAGCACCCACACTTCACCACCCGTTTCCAAATTGGGAGACTTGGGATCTGCAAGGGGGCATTTCTTTTGTACCTAACTTCAATGCTTTTTAACTCGCATTACTCACTGTCATCGTGTAGAACTCTTATGCGATGATCCTTCGTGACACGCACGGTGCCCGCCGTGAGTATTTCGTCACCCTTCTTCCATATTACTGTATTATTGGCCGCATTCTCTGATACAACACACGTCAGCAGCGCATCTTTGTTTTCAAAAATAAGCGATGGTCCACCAGTTCCTAAACGAGTGTTTATTGGTGAGATTATAGATGTATAGATTATATAGCAAAACTAATTAGATTTCTAACTGGCAATGAATGCAAATATTGAATAAAGAGAACTCTAGTAGACTTACCAATTGGCACACCGGAGTTAACAATCGATAATAGCAGGCATATTGTTACAATGTGCACTACTAGAGGCTTAAGCATTATTCCTTGTAGGATTGTCTGCAACAAAAAGAGCCAGTAACATATTTTGGTTAAAAAAATTATTATTTTGAAGCTATATTTGTAGAAAATACTTTTATTATCAAGACAAAACTTAAAAAGCCGTAATTTAATTGCTAGTGGAGCTATTTTTAGTGAATGGGATCGATAAATCATCAACTTGACTTTAAAATTCTAAAATTCTTGAACAATTTAACTTAAGTTTACTTATTGAAGGAAATCGGAATTCAAAAACATCAACTTGACTATAAAATTATATTCTCAGTTCTGGAACAATTTAACTTAAGTTTACTTATTGAAGGAAATTTCTAAAAATATTATCCAAATACGATTCAAAAAAATATGTAAAATATGTAAAATATGTTATATAATTCGGTTTGAAAAAATTAAATTTTTCTGTTAACACAATTGTTAACACACTCTCTGAGTATCAGTTTTTGTAAACTCGAAATGATGCTTCATATTGGGTAATGTAGTGTAAAAATACATAAAAATACTGACGAAAATGTATTCCTGCTGTTTTGTAAATCCCTACAAAATATATAAAAGAGCTTGGCTCTTCTAAAAATAGAAATTAAATAGTCCCCTTCAATAATACTTGAATTCAAGAAATATATAAAACTTTTAAATTAAATTTCTCCTTGGCTAGTAAAACAAAACATAATTCCTTCGATAGTCAATGGATAATGAATTATTGGTTTCCGGATTGGTAAACAAAATTTTATTAAAAGCAACGAGAAAACGTTTTTCCATGATTTCTTACATTAATAACAAACAAAACTACCATTAATGAAAAAAGTTGCTTGCCATATGAGACGTTCATTTAGTAAAGTTAATAACTAATCAATAGAGTGTCGTGCAGTGCAATTTTTTAGATTTATGAACAACTTATCAAATTTTCAATCAACTGTATTTTAATAAGCTTAAATTAAATGTTTGGCTTTTGAAATTTTCCATAAGAAAGTAAAAAGCTATTTAATGTAAGACTGACATTTTCAACGGGTTTCTAAAAAGGCGAAATACAAGTATGTTATTTATTTGTTATAACATTGGAGAAATTTTCTCCTTCAGCAGTGCATAAAATGCATATATTTGATTCTATTATACTTATTTGATGTTAGCAGATTACGAGTATACACTTGACCGCATCAATATAAGCTTTTGAGGCGTATCATGTTTACGAGTTGGCTTCAAAAGCCCTGAATCAACAGCCAAGCATACTCACACATTCAGAATAATTTCTAAGCAGCTTAACAAACAGCTTAAAAACTTTTGGCCACAAAAAGGCTATCGCATCCCTTTGCAGTGCATTGCAAAGAGATTCACACTTCAAATACAAACAAGTGGCACGAACCCAAATCCCTCGCCAGATCCCCCCTCCCCTGATGAACAAATTAGAAATTGCAGAAGAATATATATACTATGTATATATGTATACTATACAGCTTAAAATATTTCCATGAAAATGTTGATATGCATTGACGCGTATTTTATGATTGCCTGAATTGATTTGCATAGCATAGCCCGAGCTTGGCGTGGCCCTTATTTTCCATCACGATTTGTGTGAACAACAAATGCCGAAAACAAACAAGTATTTCTAACATGCACCCCAGCTCAAATGAAAAAAAAAGGAATGGAGGAAAAACGGAAGGAAGTTGAGGAAAATCGTCGATTTGTGCACCTAGAGCCTGCGCATGAAAAGCATTGCCAATATTTTTCAATCATTTTTACAGCGCAAAAGAAACATTTTGATATTGCAATAAATGGCAAGGCCATGGGCCAAGGGAGCGCAACTGGCGAGGGGAATGGGAGGGGCAATGGGAATGGGTGCTGTCATGGGCTGGTCACAAGCCTGGATAGCACACAGTTGAATGCTTCGGCTAGCTGGCAGTGCGAACCCGTCATAGGCAACGATGCAGATAGGTGGGAGTGGGGGTGGGGGTGGGTGTGTTGCTGGGAATAGGGATGGGGTTGGGTCGGAGGAGGTTAGTGCCGCAAGGGGGCTTGGGCACACAAACACTTGAAAGTAGCGCCAATTTTATGTGCCCCAGCAATGGGGCCAACTGGTGACGTTGCTTCAACTTTTGATGCTACAAAAATAAAGTATATAGAAGTTGCATGTATACCAGAGTGGAAGCGCCACTCCAACCTACCACCCCCCATTCCCACCCCACTGGCTGCATGTTTTGTTACCTTTCCGTTTTGTGTGCGCTTTTTGGATTCTTGTATAAAAATTCTGCGATCTGCACCCCCCTCTTTTTTTTCTGCGCATTTGCTTTTTCCCTCTGTTGATAAAATGTTTAACATTGCAATAGTCGCTAGCTGCTGACATGCTGCATGCCGCATGCCGCACGCTGCTGAAAAGTGGCACGGCTGCTGAGAGGAGTGGGTGAGCGGCAGGTGGATTATGTGTTTGCGCAAAAGCGTCACGAGTCTAAACGTGCACGCGTAACTGAGAAATTTTTCGCAATTTTAGCGGCGTTTTTCGTTGCCAACGGTAATAGTTTGGAGCCAAATGAAAAAATATAAAAATGAATGCCCTCGCAAACATAGCGAAATAAATTTTTATGCACATACATACATACAGATAGATCTATGCGTGGTCATTGGAAATGCACTTGAAAAAATTCGAAAATTAAAACGGAAACTAATGAGTATACGTGAATCAAAAAATAATCATATCTAGCACAAACAGGTCATTCTTAAATAAACGGAAGTAAACCAAAACCCTGGCGAGTGCTCATGCCTAATAAGCTCCTAATAATTTACTTAAAATGTTTCCAAATAAGAATTGTAGACACTATAATATTTTACTTGAATATTTTTCTGGAATTAGGATACTTTTGGCCTTTCCGTGCGTTCTTTTTTTAATAGTAAATGGACTATTGTTCCAGTCTCATGCCTATGACTTAGACTCACTTCCTCCTTCCCATTTTTATATTGAATTTAATTTTGAAGGATTTATGAAGACTGAAAATTGAGTGAAATTTAAAGCTATATTAAAAGCAAATTTTTAAATAATTTATTGGATAAATAATAAATGTATATCGGAGTTAAATTATAAGAGAAAAAAACGTTGTTATTAAAAGTTACATTATTACAGAGGTAAACATATATTTCTCACTTATATTTCTAAGTCAGATCTGTAAATATTTTTTACATATGGAGCTGATATTACAAAAATATGTTTAAATGAGAGATAACTTATCAATGCAAAAAAGTTCAATTTAATTACGATGTTTCATTCAGACTCATTCATAAATTTGTTTTTTTTTATTTAAATCCATTGACTTTTAGAGCACGCTTGAGAATTCATTTTGTAAAATGTCAATCTTCTAAAAAAATGTTCTCATTAAAAATGCTCTTCGAACATAATGAAAATTTCAGTAAAAGCATTGATCGCACTGCAGCCTTAGCCTACACCCAGAACGTGCAGTGTACTTTAAAATTTTATTTAACCAAGCGACGACAAGAACAACAGCAACAACAACAGCAACAATGCGAAAGGTAGCGGCAATGTCAGCTGCCACCCAATGCTGACTGCGCCACTTCCGTCGCACGTTCAGGTGAGTCGTTGTCCCTGTAGTTGTTGCTCCACCTGCTTCTGTTGTTGTCATCAACAACGACATTCGCTGTCCCGACGAACCGGCCCCCCTCACCACCCTCTGCCCTCTGCCCGCTGCCCACACAATCCAGCGACCATCAGCCATTAGCCCCTCGGAGCGTGCCCTGTTGACAAACCGCTTAGCCAGCTGGCAACGGCATTTGTTTGGCCATCAGCGGCAACGGCAGCGGGATCGGGTGGCAGATGCGTGTGCCCCTTGATAATGGCACTTGTAGGGTATCAAAAGGTATGTTGCATATTTGCTAAGCGTCCAAGACCAACGTCAACTGAACAATAGACGTGCGGAATACAACAACACAATATGTAATAGCAAAGAGCGCCCCCAACTTTGTGCGTTTCCTGCACATGCCTGCAAAGTAATTTTCTGCGCGTTAAGCGCATTTCAAATTGAATTTACAAAACGCGAATGCAATGCGCTTGCCTTTTTCAATCGAGACCGTCAAGACCCCTCCTTCATCAAGTAATTCCAAATATGTACACACCTTTGTGCGTTGTAAATACGAGGGCTGGTTATAGAATATACTATATCTATTTTAATAAATTATGAAAATATTATTTAAAAAACTGTACGGCACCCTGTAAAGAATTTGATTTCGTAACGTTTTTGAAAAATATTATGAATCTTTGTGAAACATTCATTACTTAAATGTTTTTAAATATTTTAATTTCAATTTGTTAACATTTCTTAAAAACATTATCAATTAACAAGTGAGATAAGGATATCTTAATGTTAAGAGTACAGGCAGCTTAGCCTTTTCTACTTAATTAAACAAAATGGGAAAAATGGTTAACAAAAATCGACAGTGTAAAGCGGGAAAAATTGTACCATAAAACGCATAAAGCTTAATAACTTAAACCTAACATAATACTTAACTAACTTATACAAGTTTTTTAATATTTATAAATTATATATTTTTTACTATATGCAAGTATGTAGATTACATACATCTATTATTGAATCTAATTTAAAAATATGTATGTCAGATCAAAAATGTAACTTCAAGACAATTCGATGGTGTTTTACAATAATGCTGTGATGCCGCAATTGGCATAGAATTTAATAAATTATTGTAAAGGCGTTAGTTGAATGAACTTCCTGTTCATAAAATAGAAAATGTAACTAAGCAAACTAAAAACCCCACCCTTAAAACCACCCTAGAATGTAAAATAAAACAACTTTCATAGTGCATTAAAAATATTTGAAAATATGCAAAACGAAGCTAAATTGTATTTTTCGTGCAACTGCAATTAGTAATCAACAATTTAATGAAGTGTCACAACTTGTATAAATAGTATAACATTAATAGCATATTTATTTACAATATTATATCGCATTAACATAAGCCTTAGGCAAAAGAGTGTCATGGAAATTCGG